AATGAGCCGGGGCTGTGAGACAATTATCTTTTTTAATGCATGCTAAAACATGCAAGGATAGCAATTCCATTCCATCCTTAAAGTAATTCCACCTCTGGGGGCATTTAACGGGAAGAGCGACGTCCATACTTCATCGGCCTTGTTCCTGCTGCCGTAGGAAAGTTTTGGCACCTCTGATGCTGATTTTAGTTGAAAAAGGACTTAAAGGCGTATAAACTTAAATGTAGTTTTCACGAATCCAGATTGGCGATTTCCTCGAAGAATCCAATTGGAGAGCAGTGCCAAAAAAAATGCTTCCAAGTACTTTTATTCTCCGCCTTTTTCCCAGGTCACATGACCATCTTGCCTTTTCTTTAATCTGCATGGCCCGAGCAGGAGGCGGGACCAGTCTGCTGTGAACTACAATGACGGGAGCAGCCACTGTCAATCAAACTCTCTTTCCCACCCCCTCAGGCCGATATCACCTTCAGCAGCACCTGACGGGGCGGGTAAGAGTGTTTGATTGACAGTGGCTCCTCCTGTCCTTCTCGTCTGACATCAGTACCTGACCTCACAAATGCGCTTCTGGAAGGATGGTCCAACATTCCCATAGACACACTCCTAAACCTTGTGGACACCTTCCCAGAAAAGTTGAAGCTGTTATAGCTGCAAAGGACGGGCCAACTCAATATTGTCTGTCAATCAAACCCTCTTTCCCACCCCCTCAGGCCGCCATCACCTTCAGCACTACCTGACGGGTTGAGTGTTTGATTGACAGTGGCTTCTCCTGTCATTGCAGTTCACAGCAGACTGGTCCCGCCCACTATACAGAACAGCAGAGCAGAGAATGCGCACAAGCAGTGGCTACGCTGCAGAAAGCAGATGAGCCTGCAGAGCGTTGCCACCACCAACGAACCAGAGGAAGTCACTGGCGTGATCATCAGTAGGGATGTGCGCGGGCTCAGTGTGCACCGAGTTAGCTCATGCACATGCAAAACTGGCGGGGACACATCCCCCTCCCAGGCCCCATCAGCAGTGGCTGGGGCACTCCCCGCCCCTTTGTTATGTGTAGCTTCAAGCAGGAAAATGCGCCCCTTCTCTGATACGTTTTGCACATCCTTTCAAGCTTAGCCCAATCAGCTGCGGCCAGGGAACTCTCATCCACTTCGTTACGTGCAGCTGCAAGGAACGAATAGGTCACCGCTCCAAGCTCACTCCCAGGATGGTCTACAATCTCATGTTTAGTTTAGCAATTTGTATTGAGATTGTAGTCCATCCCGGGAGCGAGCTTGGAGCGGGGACTACTTTACAACACACACAGGGGCCATGGGGAACAGACGTGGCCCCCCTCCAGAAGGAAGGACAGTGTCGGCACCATTTCAGAGATGATTGGAGGATCTCCAACCGAATAAGATACATTGTTGTTCATAGTTGAGGGACTTGAATGCAGTTTTAGGATTTAGCTACGGAGTTGTCACTTTAATAGATAATGATTAAACTTTTTGTTTAGTACAAGACAAAAGTGAAACAAAGACAATTCCGTATGTTTACTCTTATATAAAGAAAACATGTTTCAATATAAGATAAAATAAATATATCTGAACCACGTATTACTCAATTTCATTGCAAGTAAAAGAATGACTATTCATGAAGATTATTCTGTCATTGGCTCTTCCCACCCGCCATCCAAATCCAGACTTGGGAGCACTCATTGAGTTTATTACACACTGCTGCCCACTGCTGTCCACAGAGGGGAACTCATGCCAAATATTATATACACTATATTGCCAAAAGTATTGGGACGCCTTTCCACGCACATGAACTTTAATGGCATCCTAGTCTTAGTCCGTAGAACGACTTATTGCTCAGGTGACAACCTATCAGGGTACCACGCTTGTAGTCACTGAGCTCCTGAGAGCGACCCGTTCTTTCACCAATGTCTGTAGAAGCGTCTGCACGCCGAGGTGCCTCATCCTATACACCGGGGGCCATGGAGGGGATCGGAACACCTGAGGGTGTCCCAATAGTTGGCAATATAGTGTATATGAAAGCTAGTACACCTCCTATCCTCTGTTACTCACCTTACCTGTGCCTTTCCGCTGGCACCTTACAGTCATGGAGGAGCATGTGACCTGCACCCTTTTGATGGTGCCGAGTTGGAGGAGTCCATTCAGCTGAAGGGAATGGTGTTCAGCTCAGATGCAGTTGCCCAGGTAAAAGCTATAATGATGATCACAAGACGACAAAACACGAAAACCAAAAACTTTTATTATGTTTTTTTTCTTATCACAGTCACTGAAACACAGGCCAAAATGTCTAACACTGTGAACATGCTTACAAAGGGCAAATCACAGGGAGGACCTGATACAAGCACTGTTGAGCTGACCTCCAGGTAAGCTAAATACACACAGTTGCAATACCAGACATGGGAGCTGTTTGATCTGCTGTATAGCCGGTCTTATGATCCACGCACAACGGTTCAGCAACCTCACTTTTCTATGATGCAGTAAACCTACCCAGCCAGACTCCCTTGCCAGCCGGCTGATAGGACAATGTAGGAGCAGCAGTGCACCGATGATGGAGGGGGGCATGGAGGACCTCAAACTACTTGAATCGAGAAGAGGCGTACAGGAAAGGCTTGCGTACCCCTTGGCAGTCCATTTGTATAAACTGTACCCCTCAGAGGGGGTGGGGCTAACAGTAAAGCATGTGGCTTGCCGTGCCGAATGGTAGGTGTGGCCAAATAGCAGAAATAGGCGGGGCTGAAAAGCCACTGTGTCGGTGTCAGTGGGAAGAAGGGGCGAGCTGGGGTGCGGTGCTCTATGGGGTATGCCATATTGCGGTGGTATGTCCAGTGTTATCCTGGGGGTCTCTTTGTGGTGTGACACTGGATTCCCTGGCTCTAGGGCTCCTTGCACTTCTAAGAAGCAAAATGCACATCACTCAGCCGGCACTATAGAATGAGTGTTGCAAAATGCAGCCGCTGGAGTACTCTGCAGACCTCCTGCACCCATTCAGTCCCTGACTCCCCACTGACACAGTCTTGTTCCACCATTATAAAGATATTTTCATGCATTCCTAAATGTGCTGCCACGTACCCCGGGGTTGTGAAATCACTGACCTAGAGGAACAGGAAGGATTTTCTTTCCTCCGTTACAAATTGTGATTGATTTTTTTTTTTTTGCGGGTTTGTGATTCTGAGGATGCAGATTTTTAACTGTATTTGTGTCTTTTGGTTAAATTTGATGGACACTTGTCTTTTCCCAACAAGACTATCAGTGTTTCCTCCCTTTCTGTACGCATGTTGACAGTGTTAGACTGACAGCTGTGATTGGTATAGAACCCCTGGCACCTTTACCTTGGATAAAAACTATACTTTGTAGCACTCCTACAGGGGACAGTCTTATTATATTAAAGCGCTACAAGCTTGACCATCGAGAACCATTATGGTTGTACGGCCGGCAGTCATAATACTGCACACTCAGGTACATACCAGAAGTGAGCTCTGATTGGGTTCTAGTGGTCATTTTGGGTTTGATTAGATGTTGGATTTTTCAGGGTGTGAACAACACAAGGAACCCACAGACAGGCCCAGGGGAACAGAAGACATCAATCTATCAATATAAGTAAGTCAGGGCAGATAGTTGTTCATCACATTTATGAGACCTTGTTCTGTAATTCGGAAGATGTTTCATAGCCAATCCAGCCCCTTCTTCAGTTCTAATAAGTATCAGGAACATACCCCAGCATTTAAATCCACACAGTTACAATTACAATGAAGAGTCCTCAATGTCTTTCTCTGCAGCCCCAGTTATCAATGAATAAGAATCCTCTACAGCGCTCTTCTCCCGCAGCGCTCGGCCGCCGGTAGCAGAGCAGCGCCCAGCGGGGAGGAGACAAAGAATGGATGCACAGCTGTATCGGTCAGAAAATAGCACTTTCAGCAATATGCCAAAAGTGCCATTTTCGGCCGATATATTGGTGCGCCCTTAATATATATCCACATAGCTAGCATAGACACTGCAATCCCAATCTCCATGGGAAGACTCAGATGGATCTGTGACATGCATTGCATTCCTGTGTCCTTCAAACTGAGACAGATGCGTGTGCATCCAGAAGATCCGATTGCAGTCCATGTACCCATCGCACTCCTGACCACTTTTCCCATACAGATTTAGGTGGGTGCCACGGTAGTCAACGGATGGCAGCCATCTCTATACATGAATAAGAATATGGACACCGGCACTCCAAATGCAAATCAAATACGTCTATTTATGGACGCACGTCAGCACTTGTTCTGCCTGATGAAGGGGTTCCTGCGAGACCCCCGAAACGTTGCACTGAGTGTAAAATTGCTGCATGTGCGTCTATAAATAAACATATTTGACTTGCATTTGGAGTGCCTGTGTCCATATTCTTATTCATCCAGAAGATCCAAACACAAGCCAAGTAAATTGGTACAAGCAGTGGAGATTAGTGAGGAACGCAATGACCTGTGCTATAGAAATCCTTAATAATAATAATAATAATAATAATAATACACTGGGGAGACAGAGCAACCTCTGAAAACCAAATGGCCCAACATAGGAGGCCATTTATAGAAGTTAAGAATCTGCAGCTTCGGGAAATGAGACATTCTGCTGAGGACAGTGAGGTGGACATCTTTGACAGAGAGGACAACAGGAGGCATGAAAGAGGCCATCTACCTCAAACTGGAACAAGCATACCTGAGCAGGGGCGCAGGCCCTCAACACCATCTGTCTTCCACAACTTTCCCCATGTTCTTGGAAAATCAACATCCATACATCCCATGCTGACTGAATGAAGGGGTCTGTGCTATCTGTGGGGATATGAATGTTGGGGTATCTTCCTGAAACTCATTGGAACTGAAGAAGTGGCTTACATGAGCTACACAACATCTTCAACATTACAGAACAAGTCCAGTTGAATGTGACCAAATGCTATTAGCTGAACCAGCATGTCAGTCCTTAGACAGGGCAGATGTTGTGATGATGAAGCCAACTAATATTTGGGACATACTGCTGTGGAGTAGAGAACCCCTCCTCTATTATCTGTGCACAGTGCTGTAGATCAGGTCACCTTCCTGTAATAAGACAACATTTCATCCAGTCTCTTCTCATCCACCTTGGAGGTCGTGTTGGACCCCGGGGCTTCCTGAGCATATTGGTTGTGTCCATGATCCAATCGTGTTGTGTCATTTGAAGGTCCTGCCTGGTTCCTCCTTCTCTTCTGACGCCTTTTCTTTTTATTTTGTTTTGAAGCGTAGACGGACGGCGGTGCAAACTCTGGCTCTCGTTCATTTCTCAGGTCATCTTGGATTTTGGACCATCTGCCGAGCGTGAATTCTGAAGTGAAAGAGGAGAAGGTGGAGATGTCATGCTAAAAACAGACCAGACTGCTGAAGCTTATATATCACTCCCCCCACAATGGTGCTCAACTGTTGATCCATATTCATTACATTTTATTTTTTTAACTTAGCCGTTTCTGCAAATGTGGTGCAAATCATGGGTGGTGGGAGGGGCCAGCAGGGTGCTGTTCATAGCTTCCTGAAAACGTCACAGCACCCTGCCTCCGTACTCCATTTAAGAGCCCTCAGCCCTGCTGCAAGCAGTGGGCTGGCTCTTGGGAGGAATTATGCAAATATCAAAATGCCCTAATGGGTGGATGTCAGTCTGGAGGAGTGGGTGTTCCTAGGCAGGCTGCATTTGCATCAGGGCTGAGGGCTCTTGACAGGAGTACAGAGGCGGGTGCTGTGATGTTTTCAGGAAGCTATGTATAGCACCTTGCAAGCTCCTCGCTCTGGCCATGATCCACCTGCATTGCATAAAGAAGCACACAGACCCAGGAGTTCATCACTGGAACTGAACCAAAAGCATGAAGCTAGCAGAGGGAAATACGAATGTTAAAATTGGAATGGGTTGCTGTGTAAGACCCCCATAGACTACCAAGCAGCACAGTAAATAAGTGGTTAGCACTCCTGTATTACAGCACTGGGGTCCCTCGGTTTGAATTCAGGCCCAAACCATCTGAATGGAGTTTGCCTTGCCTTGTCCACCCTCCGGGTACTCCGGTTTCCTTTCACATTACAAAGACATGCTGCCAGGTTAGGGCCAGTGGAGACCTAGGCGATCCTGGACGCGCAGCCCCATTGATTTCAATGGGGCTACATCCGTGCAGCAAACGCAGAAAAAAGGTTCATGTACCTTTTTTTTGCGACACACAACGTGCGGCTGTTTTAGCCGTGATCGTGTTCGATTGCACGGGTGGAATCACGGCGGGAAACCGCTCGATCCACCCAGGCGCGACATGGGTGTCATTAGAAAATAATGGCACCGCCAGCGTGATCAGCAGTGGTGGGCGACTCGGTGATCGCACGGCAATCCGCGCAGTATCGTGCACGATTGCCGCGCGGTCACGGATCGTGCGGGTGTGAACCTGGCCTCAATTGGCTCCTGTCTAATTTAGCCCTAGTATGTATGAGTTGGTCTTATGCCCTGATACCAGGTCATTCTGATAAAGGGCGCTTGGCCCCAGAAGCATGTTAGCTGGATTGTTTGAATTACATTGAGATGTAAAGGGGAGGTCTGTGCACACATTGCAGAATACATTTGGTGGGCTTATATGATGCATGCTATTTTTTTATCTAATACAGATTGTGAGTACCCATCTGTAGATATGATTTTGGGTGGCACAGTGGAGTAGTGTTTAGCACTTCTGCCTTGCAGCACTGAGAGTCACTGAATCCACACAAGGACACTATCTGCATGAAGTTTGCATGTCCTCCCTGTGCATGTGCAGGTTTACTCCCACACTCCAAAGACATGCTGGAAGGTAATTGGCTCCTGTCAAAATCTCTATGTATGTATGCGAGATAAGGACCTTAGATTGTAAGTTCCTTTAGGGCAAGGACTGATGTGAATGTAGAGTGTGTAAAGTGTAAAATAAAAGGTGCGATATAAGTAACTGTAATAAAAAAGGAATATATAAATCTACCATTCTACACCGTCAAGTCTTACCTTTTCCTCTGTCCCACTCCCTGACATGGGGTACGCCGGGTTTAGTATCTCTCCTCTCCTGTATGAGGACTTCTACCTTCCTCTCCAGCTCAGGGGTCTCTTCTGGCTCTGGTCCGATCGGTTCCTCCTCAGCTTCTGTGTCACATAGAGAAAATATAAATACTGCACATTGATATACACAAGAAAAAGCTACACAGATCTTTAGCACATATACAAAGGAAACGGGTCACATGGTCATCGTCATCAGACTGACTGATAAATGTATTTTGCTTTTACCAAAAATCAAATAACCATTTTAATTCTACCAGAGCATTATGGGAGAAAAAGAAAACACAATCTGATTGGCTGACTGGAAAGTATAGAATCTGAATATCCTTAATTTCATTTCTTTTCACCCACCCTGAGCTGTCTCCGTCTCCTCTCCTTCCCCATGTTTCATTTTACGCTGCCGCAGTTTGGCGAGGCGTGCGTCCAACATGGCTTTACGCTTTGATTTCAAGCGCTCACGCTTTACCCTTTGATCTTCAGTCTGCAAGAAGAAGAAAAGAAAATTCATGATACTTGATGACGTTTCCAGTAAATGACTATATTCAAGGAGTTTTCTAAGTGTTCATTTTGGATTTGTGACATGGCATTCGGTGGGACTTCTATCGTAATAACATTACCTCATCCCCATCGTAATCTTCCTGCCCCTTTAAATAAAAATAATGCTAAAAGAGGAGCTGACAGAACCACCATTCAAAACCATGTGGACTGGTACAGCCTGACAGAGCTCACCTTCCCCCCCTGCTGCGGTAAATAGTAGCAATGTCACACGGCACTTGCCCACCACCTCCAATCTGCTCCCGGATCTTCTTTGCCTGCTCTATCTGGGCAGCTGGAAAAAAAACAAGTCACCCCTCCTCCCCTGGCCAATCACAGTGCATCTCTATCCCTCTACTAATCATACCTCTACCTGCAGAAAGTGTGCTCTGGACTATCTCTTTTGCTAATCACATATTTTCTGCTGTAGGGAATCTGATTCAGGGGGAAAAAAGGGGAGGGGGGGGGGGGCATGGGGGCTTTTATCAGTTTTTAAGGCTTCTGAGATTATTCAGAATTCCTTCATAGATGCCTTTGAACTGCAATTAACCTCCAAGGTTGCATCAACCTGCATCAAATGACTTCCAAAAGAAGCAGCTCTAACTGCAAACAAAAGACCAGCAACCCAGGCCCCAATCTGGACCATTGCTGCCACATATTTTTCCCTCATGTAGTCCTCTGCACTGCAGCTCACTCTACAATTGCGATTACCTTTATCCGTGCCCCTTACCTGATCTCGCAACATGTTCAGCGTATCCATTTGCTTCCGACGGTTCTGTTCATCCTTAGCAAAGGCAAAATAGCCAACACCCAGCTGCCTGGCCTCTGCAATAGCAAAAAATATGAAACAAGTTAAAAAAAAAATGATCACAGATCGTAACAACGGCAGTACAGAATGCCATTAGGCATGCATCATTGAGGTCCATCCCACCAGGGACACTGCATGTAATTTGCATGTTTGGTTTATTACAAGAAGTGTTGATAGATCATGGGGAACAGCAAAGTTTCTCTAGGTGAAGCCGATACTGCATATGAGCAATCGCACAGTTTCAGCTGCCATACCGTTGTCTCTTATGTCTTCATAATGTAAGGGACCAATCGGTCTCTTCATTGCTTCTTCCTCTTCCTGCTCCCACTGTTCTCTTTGCATCTCCCGTCTCATATCCTCAGACAGTAAAGTCTTTCCTTGAGCAGCCGCCGGTCTGTAGAGACAACGAGGGGAGAGTAAAGCGTCACATATGCGTGTAACATTTGATGTTTTGCAGAGTTTAGAGCAGCGGTTCTCAACCTGTGGGTCGGGACCCCTTCGGGGGTCGAATGACAATTTGCCAGGGGTCGCCGGGAGTCTCCCGCTGTTAGATAGCGGCTCCCGGCCGCCCGGGAGAGAAACACTTTCTCCCGGAAAGTGCTCTGCTTGGAATGCATAGCTAGATTCCTATTGGCTATTTCACTTTGTAATAGCAAACTAGCTATTGCACCCGCCCACTGCTGCTGTCAATCAGTAGAGCGAGGCCTGCAGTTCTCCATCAGGTCCCCATCTAGTGATTATCATTATTATTAATAATCAAAGCCGACACCCTCGGCTTGTGTTATATGGTTTGCCATTTTAGCTGTTACAGAGGTTGGAATATCATACTTCTTATAACGTTGTATTATCATACAGGTTATGGTGAGAAGGGACTAAAGGAATCAACAAAGCCCTCCAACCAAATCAGTATGTACGCTGCACTGATGATGGCCAATAAGCCGGAAATAGCTGTATGCAGCTTGGTATAAACGGCTTGATAGTACTTGGCTTTATTTGTACTATCCACCAGTAGCTCTGAATGTGCATCTGGCTGATCTGCATGGCTCCCTCCTCTGCCCTAAAATAAGGCATATTCCTCGTATTTTTTTTTTTAAATGAGGAAAGTGAATATCTTCTGGCCTCAGAAGGCTTTACTGTGCTATACTTCTGGAAAGGAATACTAAAATCAGAATTTCCATCACAACCACTGACTTTGATGGAACATTCACAATCACCATACCCGTTCTATACTAGTCACATGCTATAGTGTCTTACTTTTTTCCTTGTAGGTCTTTGTCCATTTTCAACAGGTCTGGGAGGTCCTTCTTCATACAGCGCCTCGATCGGCCTAGAGAATCGACATAATCCACCCTACGGAAAGATTACATCTGATCACACAAACATTTATACACCCCAGAATGAAAAGGTCTAAACCTTCAGGCCTGGTTCACACCTAGGCGTATTGCATATGCGCGTCTGTCACACGTTTTGTCCCCGCGATTAGCGGTAAAAAATTTGCGCTACAAAACGCGCGTTTCCGAGGGCTACTTGGCTGTATCCCAATGGAAACGCGCAACAAAAACGGCCCAAAGTAGTACCTGTACCTTTTCAGGCGTGGGCCGTTTTGTAGCGCGTTATGGACGGGCTGAAATACGCCGAGGTGTGAACCAGACCCATTGAAAACAATGGGATTTTCATGTTTGAGCGTTTTGTAGAGCGTTCGTCAAGCGTAGAACGCGCTACAAAACGTTCAGGTGTGAACGAGGGCTGACTGTATCATAAACAACTGTCATTTTTTTCAATAAGATTATGTTTTCATGTCCTCTATCCATCGTTACATCCCAGTGCTGATGACCTTCTGCAGCTGCCTTGCAGTCTATGTGCACTCCAGCGATGGCTGCACAACATTACTTAGGGTGGGTTTCCTGATGGTGACAACAGTAAAGCATTGTGCATTATCACAGTCACTTGTAGTCTCCATTGGGAGAGAGTGTAACAGGGTGGCAAAGCATAACTGAAAGATAAGGACAGCGCATTGTCACACTACACAAGAAATGCCTGTAAAAGGACCTTCATGGCAGGATCATCAGGTATTGTTGTAAATCATATTGAAGTGCTGCCCCTTTGCATCCATTTCATGTTTACATGCACTCCGGAGATGGCAGCGTGGCATTTTTTTAGTGCAGTTCTCTTGTTTGTGACAACAGTGGACCTGCACAATGTAGTCTTCTAGTCTCCACTGGAAGTCTGTGTTACTATAAAGGATGACAACTGACAGACAGGGAAAGAGCATTGTCACCCTATAACAGGAAGAGACTAAACAAGGGCCTTCATGGTAGGATCACCACAGATTATTTTAAAGTGACACTAAACTCCGGAGTTAAATCTTAAAAATGCATTCAGGAACCTTAACTATGAACAACAATGTATCTTATTTGTGTGTCACTCGGCTGTAGATCCTCGAATCTCTGAATTGGTGCTGGCACTGTCCTTCCTTCTGGAGGGGGGCTACTTTTGTTCCCCATGGTCCCTGTGTGTGTTGACAAGTAGTCACCGCTTTAAGCTCACTCCCAGGATGGGCTACAATCTCAGTACAAATTAATAAACTAAACATGAGATTGTAGTCCATCCCGGGAGTGAGCTTAAAGCGGTGACTACTTGTCAACACACACAGAGACCATGGGGAACAAAAGTAGCCACCCTGCAGAAGGAAGGACAGTGTCAGCACCAATTCAGAGGAACAAAACGTAGCTGTGGGGAGAGGGTAGGGTCGACAGAGGGCCACAAGGACAGGATGGTACTACACATGCCCCGTGTACTTGGTGTCCCCACAACTGGTTCAAGTACATGTAAACCCAATTACTAAAATCTCAAAGGATTTAAGCCCGATTCTGTGCGCTGCTCTCCCTTTCCTCCATCCGCATTTTTTTAACTATTTCCTGTATACATCTGCATCTTCTTTCTCATCTTCTATCCTCCAGGGAAGGGCAGTCCTTATTGCGGCACAATACTGAGCCCAGGCCTGCATGATGATGCAAGCTCCAGGGTGTGCGTCTTTGACAGCCTTGGCTTCCAGGAAGTGGAACCAGCACTGCAGGATGTGGAGGGCAGCTTTGGACCATGCAAAGTGTATTTTCTTAATAGAGAACATAATAAAACATACAACATAAAAAAACTGAACATAGACTTTACCATGTTAGTAAGTTTAGTGAGTTTTTTTTAAACTCATGTAATGGCAACATTATTGATGAATAGGCATATAGTAGCAATGTAGGGTGTGTACAGGTGTCAGAGCTAGTTTAAAAAATACCAATATCAGTTTTTGGATTATTTTTTTTAAATAAAAAAATGCCATGGAGTATTTCCTCTACAACCTTGGTTCTCAACTGGTGGGTCTTGACCCCGTGTTCATTGGGTCGCTGCGTGCCTTCTACTTTTCTAGGCGAGAGGCTCCTCAGCCTTCTCCTAGCACAACACAGTCAATTCTTGCGCCAAGCAGACATTCAAAATATCAGCTTGAGGTGGGGTGGGCTGACGGTACGGCCGTGAGGGAGCTCCATCCATAAATGGATTGCTTAGAGCTCCCTCGCATGTCCTGTAAAAGGTGCCTGGACTGGAGTGACGTCACATTCTGGCTCTTCAGACCTCTACAGGACATGCAAAGGAGCTGTACAAGCAATGCGCTAATCACACAGTCTCACGCCACTAATGCACTGCACCAGGCAATCGCACCTACTGTACGCTCTGGTATGGGAGCCCGCACCGCAACACGTGGTACTGCAATGCTGTGCGTTCCATTGCAGTGTGACTTGGGTCGCGACTTAATGACCAAGGACAAATGTGGGTCCTGAGGTTACACATGTTGAGAACCACTGCTATAAAACACACTCACCATTCTTCCCCGGGGTCTTTAGGAGCAGGAACTGGCAGATCTGGAGCTCTCGCATCCTCCTCCTCTTTGTCTATCTTCTCTTTATGACACAACATCTGCACCTCTCTCTTCTTCTCTATAATCTTCTGTGCAAAATCCACCAGGTACAGCTCCTCCGTCTCCTCATCTGCCAGGCGAGAGGACGTGTTATTAACGCAGGAGAAAGGAATGGTTAAGCAGAATGTTCCAGCATCAGCTGGCGTGAAAATATATAAATAATGGGAGCTGTAAACGGGGCTTTGATGCCGCGCTTCAATGCAGCACAAGAGCGACTTAAAAGGAGTGCGTGAAGTGCGCCGGATGAGAGGCTCTCGTCTCGTACATAAAAGGACCAGCTGTGTCGGCGCTGAGCACCTCAATTTACCGATAATGAGTTGAAGCGACAGCGAGGCCAATAGATGCAGAACGGCCCGGCTCTGAACCTGGATAAGTCACAATTGTACGTGCTGATACATACACAATGCTGTGATGATGCTATATCGTCAATGGAGAGAAATCAAAGGCCATTATGAATAACAACTTACTTAACCTTTCAGACACGTAGGTGGGAAGAGAAAGTAGAAGAGTAGATAAAAAAAATGCCTATTTTACAAACATAATCACAGTCATTTCTATCATTTAGGGTTGGCTGCATCCCAGGAAGTTTAAGCCCAACTCTGCATGTATGTACGTCCCCATGTTCAGCATACACCGAGTGGCCAGATTATTATGACCACCCCATCAGTACTTCGCTGGGCCGCCTCGTGACTCTACAAGATGTTGAAAGGCGATGCGAGGAATCTGACACGGCACTGTTGCCCTTCTGTTGTCTTGTACCAGTCTTGCCCCTCCCCCGTTCTGCCCTAACATTGACTGGTCGCTGACGGCCACAATTCGCACGTTCAGACCCAGATTTTTGGCTGACAGTCTGGTCTTTAAACACTTTAACAACAGCTGCTCTTCTTCTGCTGAATTCTGCTGTTTTGCTGATACTTGCTCCATGGCTCCGAGTGCCAACAATCATCCCGCGTTCAAAGGCTGTTAAATCGCGTTGTTTCCCCTTATCTTCAGAGAAAAATCACTTCTACTGTCGTGGTAAACAACCTGCTTCCCTATTTATAATGGTCTGGCCCTCTAGCAACTTCAGCGCCAAATTATAGCTAATTTGCCAACAAACGTCAGGTGGTCATAATAATCTGGCCACTCAGTGTATACACAGATAAGGTACTAAATACGATCTAATACACATATAACAAGTAGAGGCGCACCGAAATGAAAATTTTAAAACCGAAAAGGAAAAAAAAAAAAGAAATGTTCCGCTGAAACGGTCCTCAGAGACACAGAGTCCTCAGAGACACAGAGTCCTCAGAGACACAGAGTCCTCAGAGACACAGAGTCCTCAGAGACACAGAGTCCTCAATCTCTTTTTCTGCAGCCCGTTATCAATGAACAGGAATCCTCTATACTGAGTGTTCCCGTACATTCATAACATGAGGACGTAGTATGGTTACTATAACCACAATCATGAATGGACAGGAGGTGATGTAGATTATTTCCCATTCATAAATTGAGGATATAGTCAACATGCTATGTCCTCAATTATTTACAAACACTCACCGATCACTGACTGCTTGTACCTCGCTTTCCTTCCTGCCAGCTGTCACAGGAGGCTGAGCGAGCGGTGCGGGAAGAGAGCTCAGTCTCCTGTGACAGCGCCGGCTGTCTCCGCCCACACACCGCTCTCCTCTGATCTGTGATAGGAGGCTAGGTGGTGCGGAGAGACGCCGGCCGCTCACAGCGCTCTCCTCCCGCAGTGCTTGGCCGCCTGTGAGTGACAGATTGTCTTCCCCGCTGGGACACAGAGCAGCGCCCAGCGGGGAGGAAAGAAAGCAGGGATGCGCCGCTATAGCGGCAGAAAAATTTCACTTTCGGCATTTAGCCAAAAGTGCCATTTTTGGCGGCCAATATATCGGTGCATCCCTAATAACAAGTGTCATATTGTGTCAATTACATTTTATTACAAAGTATCATCAAAACATAAGATGTTTGCAATATTTGTGCTCTCATTTCCGTCTCACCCCCTTTCTGATTTCTGCCAGACCCCTGACTCACTCATCTATCCACAACCCATTTTGGGCTAAGGTAGCTTTTGGGCTGCAGCACTGCATACTCATACCACCCAGAACAAACCCATTCCCGAGCAGCATCTATTTAGCTTTATGAGGGCTGCACCCATTTCTATACCCAAGCATAGGAATAAAGCATCGCTCCTCCATGGCTTTAGCAGGGGAACGACAGCCGGGCGCTCGCTGGCAGGAGTGCATCCTTTGTGCCAACCAAACAGGCATTTAGTAAAGGAAGAATCCGGGCACACTCCGTCCCATGCTGAATCCGTTTATTGAAAATTCATCAGTGACACGGACTCCTGACTGAGGTCTGCCCTCTCTGACATGTTTCACCCAATCCTGGGCTGAGTCATATGACCAACCTTAGGATTGGGTGAAACATGTCAGAGGTGGCAGACATTGGGCAGGACTCAGTGTCACTGATGGATTTTCAATAAACTGATTCAGTGTGGGATGGAGTGCGGATGGATTCTTCCTTTACTCTGCACCCGTTTCTATGTTATACGATTGCTTGCACTTGCCTGTAATGTTACAGGTTTGCAATTTGTCATCAACCACATTACTGGCCACTGGCACTCGCCAGCAGTCAGATTTTTCAGTTCTACTTGCAGTTCACTGTCCAAACCCTCAAACATTATCATTCTGCTGTATTTATTAGAGACATCAATAATTTTTTTTTATTGAAACCAAATAAAACCCTGTTGATCCTGCCAGAAACTCAGAGCTGTCCTGTGCAAACTTCCTCAGTCATCTGAGAGTCTAAATAGTCCTCTCAGTTCTTATCTTGGACTGCAGAAGAATTACTTCCTATGTTACATAGTTACATAGTATTTGAGGTTGAATAAAGACATTAGTCCATCAAGTCCAACCTATTAGGATCTCATTCTAGGAGTACCCGTACCCCTGTATATTACGGTCCCTTAAGAAATCGTCCAAAAGTTTCTTGAACAATTCCACATTCTTTGCTGAAATCACCGCCTGTGGCAGTGAGTTCCAGACCCTAACTGATCTTACTGTGAAGAACCCCCTTCGCCCCTTGTGCTGGAATTTTTTTTCCACCAATTTTAGGTGCTGGCCTCTAGTTTTTGTAACGGAGTTAATTTTAAACAGTTTATCGCTAATGTTGCTACCACCATTAAACATTTTGTACATGGAAATCATATCCCCCCTTAATCTCCTCACCTCTAATGTGAACATGTTTAAATTGTTGTGTTGTGGCGATGAGAATAGGAGGGATTCAGTAGTTTAGAAAAATAAAATGGGCAGGGATGACACCTGTCAGTTCACAAAATTGCTGTGTGCTTTCCACCAACAACAGGCCTTAGGAGCTAAATGCATTACTAGCAGATGAACATATAGTTTTCTGTGCCTGCAGGGTTTTTAGAGGAATAGAACATGGGGAATGTGCATGTACTGCAGGATTTTGCCCTAACACTTTACATAGTATACCTTTAGGATCACCTTCCAATCAAAAACATTTAAAAACAAAATTCTCACTCTGGTGGAAGGGTTTATATAACCCCCGAAACACATTAGTCTACTTTTATTAACTCTCCATAAAGTGTGGTGCAGAACCTGCTAGATTCTTCTTGGCCCGCTTTCTCTTCTGCATCTATTCATGTCTCTGATGAGCATGGGCAGAGGACACAGTCAGTGCCATGATACTAAAATGGAATGGAGTCCTCCATAGATCACACAGTAATGATCTGAATCAGTTCCTTCTAAGCTTACCTGGAAAGTCGCCTTTGGTCATCTTCTCGTACAGGAGAGCTTTCTCCTCCAACCTCTTCCTACAACAGAGAAAAAGTTGAAGATAAAAAGATTGCAAATTACATCTAATCTAGATGTGCCGAGTACATATCCTAATGCGGAGGTGGGCAAACTCGGGCCCTCCAGCTGTGGTGAAAAAATACAAAACCCATCACAGATATGTCTCAGGAAGTCATGCTTCAGACTAGGGATGCACCAATACTCGTATTCCCCCCAAATGCTCTGATATTTACCTCCGATAACAGAACTTGCGGTCAGAGGGAGATCTCCCTCTGACCAGCAGTGCCGAGGGAGCATGGAGCCAGCTTCCTTTCCAATCAGGAAGTCGGGTGGTGGGTTATGACCCGCCTCCCTGATTGGCTAAGAGGCCGGTTTCACTTATTGCTAGGCAGTCTGGTTTCCTAGCCAATCAGGAAGCCGGGTGGCATGTAATGACCCACATCCCAGCTTACTGATTGGTCAGGAAGCCAGGCTGCCTAGGAACAAGTGAAGCAGGCTTCTGAGCCAATCAGGAAGCCGGGAAGCTATGCAGCCTGGCTTCCTGACCAACCAGGAAGCTGGACGGCACCTTATGACCCGCTGCCCAGCTTTCGGATTGGTCAGGAAGCCCCGGCAAGTGTAATCTATCAAAAGAACACCGGGTTCTCAGGCAATCAGGAAGCCAGGCGGCGGGTCATTTTCCGCCGCCCAACTTCCTGATAATCTGGGCACGCGGCACCGGTATCAGTACTGGGTAAAATATCGGTACCCGATACCGAAAAAAACGGTATTGGTGCATCCTTACTTCAGACTAACAGAATCTTGCAACACCTTCTACAACAACTGGAGGGCTGTAGTTTGCTCACCCTTGTCCTAATGGGACTTCAAGGTAGGCAGTCACCCAATTAAAGAGCAAGGGCAATGCCTACCACTCCTGCCTACCACCTTTACTGTACACTGACTTCTCCAAACTGATAGGTGCGCTTTTGTACAAACACGACTGATCCCCATCACTGACCTGGATTTGTCCAGCGTGTTGTCCTCTTCAGTTTTCTGCTCTGCATCTTTCTCTGCCCGGGCTGTGACCCCGACATTCTGCTTATTCCAGATATTAGGTTTCTGGGGGGGAAAAAAATTGAAATGTTCTCTGCTGGAAACGGTGAGATGAATGCGTCTCGTTTCTTTCAGTTTTTAGGCTTTTCTAGCCAGTTAATAGCCTGGCTACAGATAGACAATTGCAGTGCATGTCAACCAGTGATGAGGATAGATAGATGGAATGATGATGAAGATCTTTTTGTTCAGTAAAACACACATGGGAAGAACAAAAAAATATTTTGAGGAGCTTACCTTGAGGACTGCTTTTGACTTTGACGGCCCGTCTGTAGTTTTGGAAAGTTTCTCGTGCTTGAATTCTTCTTGTTTGCGGAAGAGTTCGGCTTTAAGGTCGACCAGCTACAGAAGAATACAGACTATGTAAGAACAGAGGCGGATCATACCAAGAAAATTAAAAAGATCTGATTTGTTGCTCTCAAAAGGAGGATAAGTGCTCCTAGTCCCTGCTGCTCAGCAGGGGGGTGCACAACTAGCGCCCCTGACCTGGTGGGGATTGTCCCCTTCATGTCCGGAGAGAAGCCTACAGGGTTACAATATTCCTGTGACCAGATGCGGGGGGGAGAAAAAAAAAAGAGCTTCCCTGTCCCGACAGATGTATCTACATAAGATTGCGCCCCTGGCACCATACCCAGCTCACGGCAACCAGTGACGTCACTGGTTGCCAGGAGCTGGGCGAGACACCAGTCAGAGCGTCCCTGGTTGCTAAGAGCCAGATGTGTAGGGGCCATACACATCTCCTGGCCTGACTCTTAACAACCTGGCATGTCCTGGTCAGCGTCCTGCCTGGTTGCCAGGAGCTGGGCGGGACGCCAGCCAGGGCATCCCTAGTTGCTATGAGCCGTGTGTGGAGATGTGTATGGGCCACACCCGTCTCCCTGCCTGGCTTTTAGCAACCAGAACAGGCAGGGAGATGTGTATGCAGACGGGACACTCTGGCCAGAGCATCCCGTCTGGCTCCTGGCAATCAGTGACATAACTGGTTGCCATGAGCTGGACGGGACGCTAGCCAGATCATCCCAGGTTGTTAACAGCCAGGCAGGGAGATGTGTATGGCCCTCAGACGTCTCTTAGCAACCCAGGATGCTCTGGATGGGGTCCCACCCAGCTCTTGGCAACCAATAAGGTTGATGGTTGCCAGGAGCTGGGCGGGATGCCGGCCAGAGCGTCCCTGGTTGCTAAGAGTGGGATGGGGAGATATGTATGGGAGTGGGGGCTACCACCATTAGCATGATCTGTTGTAAATAAAACTTCTGCAAAAGCGCTGGTAACCTGTAGCAACCAAGCAGAACTCACACCAGGAGAGGCTGTGGGTCATACATCAGCTGAAGCTGGGTTCTGACTGGTTGCTATAAGTGCCCACATCAGGAGAGTTTGTGTTCTGATTGGTTGGTAAAATTTGTTAAGGATAACGGCATAGTTAATGACAATCAGCACGGGTTCAGGAAAGACCGTTCCTGCCTAACTAACTTGCTAACTTTTTATAGGCAACATTGTCAACAAACTGTTTGAGATTAACTTCATTACAAAGACTAGAGGCCGCCGCCTAAAGTTGGTGGAGAAAAAATTCCAGCACAATGGGCGAAGAGGGTTCTTTACAGTAAGAGCGGTTAGGGTCTGGAACTCACTGCCATCGGCAGTGATTTCAGCCAAGAGTGTAGATTTGTCCAAGAAACGTTTGGACAATTTCTTGAGGGACCGTAATATCCAGGGATACCAGTATCCCTAAGAATGAGATGATGCGTGGACCTATATGGGTTGGACTTGATGGACGTATGTCTTTATTCAACCCCAAATACTATGTAACTATGTTGCTATGGGCTACCAGACCAGGAGAAGCTGGAGTCTGATTGATAGGTGATACACGTTCTCCTCGAATCAATGGTTCCCTTTCCCAAGTCAGAAGTGTCCCTGGAAATTATTTACAGAAGACCTCAGTGTTCTGCGGACAGTCAGAGAGCCCCGAGAAGACCGGAGGGACTATAAGTCCTAGCATGCGAGGAAAGAGCCGGCGTGACAATGTTGTGTGCAAATCACTCACCGAGGCCGCCGTCACCTCCAACACCTTCTTCTTATCCATAACATCCACCCGCAGTTTCCCCTCAATCCGCCATGTTCATCAATCCAGGACGGAACTTCCGTTTCCCAATAGCAGGGATACGTAGGACGCCATCTTTTGGAGGGCATGGAAACAGGAAGCATTGCGCGGCCATCTTGTGGTGGGCAAATGAATCGGGCGCCATCTTGTGGAGGGCGAAAGCTGTAGCTTCTGGGCGCCATGTTGTGAGTGGCATTGAGGAGCCATGCTGTGAAGGGAAATGTGAAAGTAAGGGAGCCGTGTTGTGAAGGTCAAATATGTCAAAGGAGAGATAAGGAATATGAGTATTTTGCAACTGGGAGAGCAGCCATGTTGCGAAGGGCAATATGTAATTAGGGCTGTTATTGTGGAAAGGGCCATGACTAATTACGGCAGCCATGTTGTGAAAGGCAATGTGTAACCAGGGCAGCCATGTTGTGATGGGCCATGATTAATTAAGGCAGCCATGTTGTGAAGGGCAATGTGTAACTAGGGCAGTCATGTTGTGAAGGGCAATGTGTCACTAGGGCAGCCATGTTGTGAAGGGCAATGTGTAACTAGGGCAGCCATGTTGTGAAGGGCAGACATGTTGTGATGGGCAATATGTAACTAGGGCAGCCATGTTGTGAAGGGCAATGTGTAACCAGGACAGCCATGTTGGAAAGGACAAGTGCACGTAAGATAATATATATAATGGTATTTACTATTTTTCCAATGGTCTTCTGGTTTTGGATTGTCCAGTGATGTCACAGGGTCCCTATTCTGGCAGCGGCAGTGTTGGACAGTCTTCATTCCCGAACTGGACGGTGCACACTTAATGATGGGTGAGTTCAGTCCAGTATTATTCTAAGCCTAGGCTACTCAATGAAGCCTCTTTCAGGGGGCGGGTCCATGACAGCCTGTTCCCAGAGGAAGTGAGTTGGCCATCATTCAACCCGGAAGACTGAGGACATCCAGTGGCAGAAATGAAATACTGCAGGGGGACTGCTCTGGATTAAAATCAAATATTGCAGAAAAAGCTGCTTTTTATATTATTTTACATATCTATCTATTTATTTATTTTTTTCTGGGTGTCTTGCTTGAAAGGTGCATGCCATCCCTGTCATCACTTCCCTAACTGGTGAGTCCCTGGTCTTGGAGAAGGCGAGCGGTTCAGGCTTTATGCTTGATATAGGTCGGTGATAGCTCTGGATGAACCTTTCTCAGGACAAAAAGACGGGAACGACCATTGCTGTCTTGTTTTTGAAGTTGCAGCTTCCTGGACTTTCATCCTCATTGGTCACTATGTTGCCCTGAGTTAGGGACCCTGCGTGGCCCCGAAACATTGGCTGATTGATACATGTGGCGATTTTTCTTCAATAAATACACACTAAGGTTTACGTCATTCTGCGAGTGCTGGTGATCTTCACGTTCTACCGCTATTGGCCATGGTGTGCGGGCTTCAACTGTCCTGGACTCCAGTGGCCTGAGATGTGCTGCTTTACTGTCATGTTTGTGAGTTACCACTTTGTTTCTATCTTTATTTAATATACCACTTTTAATACACCAAATCTCTTCACCTTGCTGTTTCCCTCCAGCTACATCCTTTAAAAAAAATAAGCTTTATCAGCTTCCAAAAGGTCTGTTCCAGGGGTGGGCAACTTCAACACTCCAGCTGTTGTGAAACTACAGGGTGGTGGGACTGCTGGGTTCTGATTGGTTGCTATGTGTTACCACACCAGGAGAGGCTAGGTTCTGATGGGTTACTATAAGTTGCCACACCAGGAGAGGCTAGGATCTGATGGGCTACTATAGGTTACCACACCAGGAGAAGCTGGGTTCTGATTGGTTGCTATGTGTTACCACACCAGGAGAGGCTAGGTTCTGATGGGTTACTATAGGTTGCCACACCAGGAGAGGCTAGGATCGGATGGGCTACTATAGATTATCACACCAGGATAAGCTGGGTTCTGATTGGTTGCTATGTGTTACCACACCAGGAGAGGCTGGCTTCTGATGGGTTACTATAGGTTACCACACCAGGAGAGGCTGGCTTCTGATGGGTTACTATAGGTTACCACACCAGGAGAGGCTGGCTTCTGATGGGTTACTATAGGTTACCACACCAGGAGAGGCTGGCTTCTGATGGGTTACTATAGGTTACCACACCAGGAGAGGCTGGCTTCTGATGGGTTACTATAGGTTACCACACCAGGAGAGGCTGGCTTCTGATGGGTTACTATAGGTTACCACACCAGGAGAGGCTAGGTTCTCACACCAGGAGAGGCTAGGATCGGATGGGCTACTATAGGTTATCACAGCAGGAGAGGCTAGGTTCTCACACCAGGAGAGGCTGGCTTCTGATGGGTTACTATAGGTTATCACAGCAGGAGAGTCTGGGTTCTGATGGGTTACTATAGGTTATCACAGCAGGAGAGTCTGGGTTCTGATGGGCTACTATAGGTTACCACACCAGGAGAGGCTAGGTTCTCACACCAGGAGAGGCTAGGTTCTGATGGGTTACTATAGGTTATCACAGCAGGAGAGTCTGGGTTCTGATGGGCTACTATAGGTTATCACAGCAGGAGATTCTGGGTTCTGATGGGCTACTGTGGATTACCACACCAGGAGAGGCTGGTTCTGATGGGCTACTATAGGTTATCACACCAGGAGAGTTTAGGTTCTGATGGGTTACTATAGGTTATGACAGCAGGAGAGGCTGGATTATGATTGGTTACTATGGGTTACCACAATAGGAGAAGTTGGGTTCTAATTGGTTCCTCTGGGTTATCACAATAGGAGAGGTTCTGATTTTTTTATTTACTTGTTTCAGAGGCAGCCAAATTGGATTGCTTTGCATGCATGGAAGAGAATAAATACTCCGAGTCAGCAAAATCGTGTCCCTGTGGTTTAAATGTTACATTGTAATTAATCTTACATGATAAAGTTTTAACTTCTTTTAAAAGTTTTGCAATGCGTTGTACAATCCTGCACAGCTACCAACATTGTAACTCCACGTCTCCGGTCACTGCTATGCCGTCAGTTCCATATAATAGAGATCAGTACAACGCAGTCATCTATTTTTCCTCACACAAAAGGTTTCCATTGCTTTTCTAGTAGCGAGAATTCCCCCCTTTTGTAGCGCAATCCCCCTCCGCAGCGGGCTGCGATTCCCGGCCTTAGCATTTGAACTTGTCATTTCCCAATATAACAGCCTCCGTGAATGGCATTGAAAGGCTGTTATATAAGCGTGGAAAGGAGCGAGCGCGGGTTAATGGCCATTTCCAGTTTGCCGTTTGAACCGCACGGCGATATAATTGCATCTGAGAGGCCGAACGCCCCTCTCTGCAGCCCTCTCCTCTGCAGATTCCCAACACGCAGCCTCACTGCCTCAGAATTCATGTCCGATACACAATGTCATTAAGTGAATCATGTTATCAGATGTCCGCGGGCAGCAAGGATCCCTGGGTATTGTTGTACGGACGACAGTGCTACTGTGGCGTCATGCAGCTAAGCGCAGTCGAGAGACAGATTCTTTTTTATACTGAGATCTGAAAGAGAGAAAAGAAAAAGATGGCACTGGGGCGATCATCCAGCGACCCTTAGGGGCTCATTCACATGAGCGTGCACATGCGTACAGCATGCGCGCACGTGCAGAGACCCGCTCTTGGGAGGAACAGGTGCTGCGTGTAATTTGCATGCAGCCACCAGTACATCCCTATGGGAGGACCCGCGCGGCTACACGGCGACCTGAACCTGCACACCCGTGTATGCCCGGGTTCCCGCACTTGGACGCACACTGTCCGCTACGTGCATCCGCCCCACAGACGTGCACGCCCATGTGAATGAGCCCTTCTAAAGCAGACTTATACTGGTAAAGCAAATTGCTTTTTAATTAACGTGAACCTTTTCGACTTTCTATCATTATAAAGCCTCCCTTGATCTCCAGTCAGTGCAGTCAGTGGCTTTGCCTAGGCTGTGATGATGTCATCAGTCTGCTGCAGGCAGAAGGAAGCATTTCCTCAGTCTCTCCTCCCAGCATCCCCTCCTCCTGACCGAGTGCCTGACTTTTCAGAGGGGGGTGACACCAAAATGACTGTCAGTCATTTTGTTGTCACCCCTACAATGGTGTCACGCGGGTGCGGGCCGCACTCCCCGCGTGATTTCACTGTCTCCTCCCCTAGTGATCAGACTGCTGCAGGCAGGAGGAAGCATTTCCTCAGCCTCCCCTCCCCCAGTGATCAGTGTGCTGCAGGCAGGAGGAAGCATTTCCTCAGTCTCCCCTCCCCCAGTGATCAGTCTGCTGCAGGCAGGAGGAAGCATTTCCTCTGTCTCCCCTCCCCCAGTGATCAGTCTGCTGCAGGCAGGGGGAAGCATTTCCTCAGCCTCCCCTCCCTCAGTGATCAGTGTGCTGCAGGCAGGAGGAAGTGTTTCCTCAATCTCCCCTCTGCTGCAGGCAGGAGGAAGCATCTCCTCAGTCTCCCCTTTCCTTGCTGTTGTCTGAGACTGCTCAGGGAAAGACAAAGGTTTTATGGCCCTGCTGGATAAAGAGAGCTCCACTTAGGAGCCATGGGCAGACTATTCTGGAGCAGGTTCTGTAAGGGTTTACAGGTCTTGAAGGTGGACAAGAACAAGAACAGACCCAGGGACTGTGAGACATCACCATTGATATTTCCAAAATATATAAGAAGCCAGTGCAAAACTCCCAGAAATGTCACTTCAGGGCAGGGGTGGTCAAATTAATATGAAATTCAGGAGCCAGTCTGTCCAATCCAGGAACCAGCAAGATTTTTGTAGGAGCCGGCTTCATTGACAACAACTAGAGCAGTGGTTCTCAACCTGTGGGTCGCGACCCAAAAGTAGGTCGCAACTCACAGTTGAGGGGGTCCCTACATGCCTTGTGCTGCTCTAGGTAAGAGGCTCCTCGGCCTCACCCTAGCGCAGCAGTGTCAGTTCTCCTAGATGGTGCAGCAGCGGCCGGAGAGGATCAGAGAGAGGGGAGTAGGCAGGAGTGAGGGGAAGTG